CCAAGTTCATCGAACTCTCCGGCTTGGTCGGTTGTAATGCGCTTTTGCATCCATCACTTCGAGCCACGTTAAATAAAACTCGTCGAGGAGGAGTCCTCGAGGTGCGCAGCTTCGTTGGAACTTTTTGGTCACGCCTATGGCGAAGATCGGGCACATCGTCTGGGCTTAAACCACCGAAGCTACTCTGCTGGGTCCACCGGATCCCGTCCCGTGTCCACGTGTGTAAAAAAAGGCGAACCAGAGAGGCAGCCTCTGGGCGTTGGCCCTAAATCTAACGAAATACTCGTCCGTTGCCGCGTCCACGGCGCGGCCATAATGTATCCTCTGTAAAAGCCGTTTTTCACCATCTCATTCTCCCGTTCTATTCCCTTCGGTGATAACTTCCACCAACACTCTACAAGATCAATATTTACAATGCGCCACGGGCGAGCAGGATTCCTGGCTTATTCTTTACTCGCATATACTTTATCTCCGTGGTCTTTATGCGGCGAAACTCGAACAGATTGCCACAATGATTTTTATCAAATGTCTTCGGCTAGTATATTAATCGTCCGGTTGATTTTCAAGCGAACTTATCGCTAGGTATATCCCAGACATACTTCGAATCCTAATCCCTGCGAGGCTGACCGATGCCCTTGGGATCGCAGAATATCAACGTCCATCGCAACGTGCGTTATCGAGCGCTCTTTTTAATCCTAAAAGCTATTTGCACTGAAATTTTACCCGTACAAACAAGTTTCACTGACGAAGTACAGTCACTTTGCAGCAAAGTGAAGCACTCGTTTCTCAATCAGGTAAAACCAGTCGAGCAAAATGAACGCGACACTTGAACCATCTCGTGATAATTACCTCGATTACCGGGCATTAGCATGCTACATTGTATAACAGAAGCAAATCAGCGGGTCGTTTTAAACACCAGCCACAAAGATTTATTTACGGATTTGCATAACCAGAAGCATCCTTCGATCACGTATTCTGTACCTCTTTCCAGCGAACTATAGTTAAATCCCCTGATCCTAAATCCGGAGAGAACGGATCAATCGTGACCCAAGTAAAAATAATGAAATTTCAACTCTACATCTTTGAGTCTCGTCTGCGCCGCCTGACTGGTTAATATTCCAAAGTTTACAAAGAGGAACGCAACGGAGATACAGGAGAGAAAAAGTATACCCAAGCATACCGTAACAACGGTATGAGCATGACACGAAAAACAACAACTATACGCAACGAGAACCGTACGACAGGAGTACAAGAACAACATGAAAAATCGTATGTACAAGGACAGTGGTGATGTCGGTGCAAAGGAGATACAGGACGTCTGGAACGAGACGATAACGCAGGAACACAAGGATGTGAACAGAACACAAGGATACAAATATGATATGACACGAACTCGGTAGTCGAACGAAATATAGCTAAAACACGAGGTGAAAGCAACGAGACGTTATATACCAAGCTTCTCTATGTAGTTACGTTGACGTTACAATGACAACGATCGTTAATGAAATAACGGGAAAGAACCTTTTTGTATTCTGTAACGTCGATGGTAATTCTGCTAATGGAATTTACGCCCATCAATTATAACATTGAATTGTAATGAAACTACGATCTCGCGTGAACCAAATTATTCTTTCTTGCCCATCGAGAGTTCGAGGAAAAAAGTGACTTTAGTAACCGCGATCACGAAAATTCATCGAATGAATAATACTTCAATTTTCTTTAATCCGATCCACCTTTGCAACATTAAATTACAGTGTTCCAGTAAAAATAAGTGCAACCCGTGGAACAGTTTGATTTCAATTAAAATTCCAGCTATAATTGCGATATTCCGGTTGTGTAAAAAATATCCAACATCGGAGTACCATATCGCTGGGATAAAAAAAAGTCTCGAGGCAAGTTAATGTTGCAGAGATACGGAGTACTTCGCGATATTGAATCTTCCGCGATGCAACATGCAGCCAATCGATGCATACAATGTTATTTCCGATTTTTTCCACCAGATTCCTGCGGTTCGACGGTGAACCGCTCAGAAAAACCGTCGACAAGGTATTCCGAGCTTGTACCATCGCTTGTACGGACGGTTTTTAACACTTTTCCGCGTGAGCTTGCTCGCGTATAGCAAGAAACTGGCATCGACGGAGAAAAAAAATCCTGCTGAAAGGCACGAACGATCGAGGTTTCGTGTCCGACCAACGCTTTTTTGCCATCGAAATTTCGTAACGCGGGTGTAAGACGGTCGGGCGAGGTGCTAATCGTGCGACAGGATTCACGAACACGGTTTGTTTGGAATTTCGGAGACTGTAACGGGACCGACACTTGCATGTGTACGCGAAATGGTCCTGTAAAGTTACCTCATTCTTGGGACGTAATACTTTTTTGTTTTTGAGAAAAAAATGCGGACATAAACGTTGATTCATTGTTACTTTTTCTTTTCGATATATCATGATTAAAGTCATCGTTTAAAATTGATGATGACACGGAATTGGTGGTAGCAATGTAGATAATTAATAAAATATAATGATCTGTTTGAGTTCGAAATATTCGCCGAATTCCAACCGCGTTACCTAACTGCTCCGAGCAATAAATAATGATACTTTCGCTAATGTCTAAATAAGCGAGTACGTTGGGCTCTTTAAACGTGCTTTAAACGATCCCGCAAGATATGCAATCATTACAATATTAAAAGACTATCAACGACCTGACGTTGCGTGACACCGGGGTGAGATCACCTCTCTTGAAATCCCCCATTTTGAAACTGACCGTGAATCATCCTGGAAGCATGCATTTTCATTCCAGCTGGAAGGCTCAAGAGCCGCGTGCCAGCTTTCGATACGCCTACCTGTCGAACCAGAGTAACGAACAGACAGCTACGTTCAGGTAAATTGAAAATGCAAGAAAAAAGGCAGAGATATCAAGTTCAACCTTCGGTTGCATGGACTTTTGATGATAATGAAATCGTATCGCTCAAGTCTTTTGCGTTCTCGTTATAGCTTGTGTACTATTACTTTATGAACTGGTTAATATTTTTTTACAGGCATGTGAAATTTAAGCTACCCCATTCTCTAGGCTTTTCTTAGGCTTTCCCTAAATTTTCCCTGGGATTTTCCTAAGTTCTCTTTAAGCATTTCTTAGGTTCCCCTAGGCTTTTCCTAGGTTGTCCCTGGTTTCGTCCTAATTTCCCCTAAGCTTATCTTAAGTTCCCCTAGGCTCTCACTACGCTATCCCTAGGTAACTGGTCGCAGATTCCTTCCCCTATCATCCCCTTAACAAAAGCCTTCGTTGCACCCGAGTGTAGATAGAAACAAATGAGTTTCCTTTAAATAATGAACGACAATCCTTGCAAAATGCCAACGACACCAGAAACCATCAGGCCCAGTACTGACGTTAATGCAACGAGCCATTACAGGGGCAACGTTAATTACCACGCAACGAACGCATAAAAAGGGAGCAGTCGATCGATCTTTCACGAGGAACGAGCGGTTTTGGCTCTCTGATTGCAAACTGCGTTCGTGGAACACCTTCCTGGATCGTGGTAATGGATGCGCGATCGTTTCTCTTCATGGAAACGTATTAATTATTTTCGTTGAATCCCATCTAAACGAGAGCAGCATGGTTCTTCTCGGATAACGAACATTTTCCTTTTTCTTCTTTCTTTAACTTACTAAAAATCTTGAAGAAATTCCCCTCTGGATATCTCATTTATTACAGTTTATTGCTTGATGATGTTTCACCGTTTCCACGTGATGATTTAAGCCTTTCCTTTTTTTTTTTCCTTAATTTATTGCTCGTGGAAGCAAAGTAACGCCAATTAACCTTTTGTATCAGCTGATCCCAGAAGACTTACGGGCTAGGTACTTATACCATAAGTAATGTCGTCACTCATCTTACGAGGAGAATTCACTATGTGTCACCATCAAAATTTAATGAGCTTTTACGTGTCGATAAATCACGAACCTTCCTATCTATGGTTTCAAGGTGACGATCAATAGTTTAAAAGTTACTTAACCCTTTTGATGGCAACTTGGAATTCAATCTTCCAAATTTTATTACGAGATCCTATTTAAAATTTCTCAATTCTCCATTGATAGTTTAATGGATCAATAGAGGAGGAGATTCAAAGCTTGTCGTTTCAACGCGTCCGCAGGAATTCAATTAGCTCCAGGTGACCCAGGCCCGATGGGTCGGATCGTTCGACTCGCTCGAGGAAGCTTCGTTGCATCATCGAGTCGGTAATTACCGTGTGTGGTACAGTTACGGGGTCGTTGGTGGTCCACGTAAATTAACGTGGGTCACCGTTGAACCTCCGTTGAACTTTCCGACCAGCTCGGTACTCTTCTACTTGCTCCTCGTTCATCCTCGTGTTTTCAACTCGTTACTTCATGTTTAGTGTTAACACGTCGACTGGTACATTATAATAACTGCTATTAAAGATACGATCACTTCATTTTCCAATTTAATCTTTCAATTTGCCGTTTTACGTCGTTGATATAAGTAGCCGGTAATAGGAGTCCTCTTCATAAGTTTCATCCTCAATTTCATTTTTATTTCGTTTAACCGACGTTTGAAATTTAATTAATCGGACTTGAGAAAGTTCATTATAGATCGAAGTTGGGAATAATCATACTTTCTATCGCTTCGACTGTTAACGTCGTCTTATACCGTTTTGTGTAGTTGCAAAATAATTACAGTGTACTTACGGGGTTACTTCGCCGTGGGTGATCGATGAACTGTAACGCAGCGCCTTTCTCCGTGATCCTTTTTATCCGTCGGAACAATGTTATCGAGCCACGTTTCACGGGTATCACTATGCTCTATGTAATTACTACGTGTGTACCGCGGTAAGTTCATCGATGACCCACGTGAACGGATAGCAAAGCGAACGATCAGTATATAAAACGCCGTGAAAGTATCCGTTCTACATTATGAATTGTGTCTTAAATCTCTACGACCCGACGATTTTATATTTCAAGTTTAATATTACACGATGCAATGGTACTCACTCGTTGCCTTTCGTCCTGTGCGTCTTGATTCTGAAACAAAAATCCAAATTGCTCCATTAATTAAGTGCAATCAATCAAATTATTTTAGTCTGATTAAAGTGATACTTGAAAAAAATTCCAACAGAGTCCTCAGTGAAAGGAAGCAAAAATTAAAGATGCCGACTTTATCATTGACCTAAACTACTTATTTTTTCTCCAACCGGGTTACAAATTGAAATAACTATCTCTAATGCGTTAATACTGCAACGAACCTTTCACAAATTGTAATGTTAAGTAGAAAACAAGTATCGAAGCACAGTCGATCACCCAAAAGCACTAGACGGAAACGCGAACGAACGGTGAAAGACGGTCAAGAGCCTCGTGTCCGCTCTATCGCAACCGCTTTTCATCGCGCGTACAGCTCACGTGCCACGTCCGAGCCAACGACATTTCCTGTTTCCTTCCCCGTCACCTGGCCAAAACCGGAAAATCCACGAGTCCCATTCGTTATCCGGCGGTCAGGGTTCGTGGTAACCGTTCCGACGGATATCATCCTCGTGTTCGGCCTGCATCCGCGTAAACTAGCCACGCCGATGAATTATTTCGTGCTCGTGGCCGGGGTATAAATCGTTTTGTAGGCGACGCCGATGACGGAGAGATAAATGCTTGATGGATACGAGCTGTCCACGGTAGCGGTACTCAAAGGAATTCTTCGCCAACGGAGAGAGGGAAAGAAAGATAGTATTTCATGTTCTTGCCGAGAAGACTTTTGACCCTTAGACGCTCGTGAGCTTGTCTTTTTCAGATGCATATGAACTCGGGGTGACTCGTTCGAGGGCTCGAATAGGTACGGGTTAACGACGGATAGATTTCTGGCGGATTAGCTGGTGAACTTGAGAGATTTCTATGCAAATTGCTACACCTTGTTGAACACGTTTTTTGCCTGCTGATTTGCGATTCATTTTATAATTACCATTTCGCTAATAAGGAATGGTATAAAATTATATGATTCTATAACAAAGAAAGCGGTGTACGATGAATACATTTTTAACTAATTCCTTGATAGCTGACTGAAGAGCTATATTTTCCGCGAATGTAATTAACTACCACGACAAAGCACCCTCTGCGAACGATTACCATCGCTTGTGAAATATCTCTGCTAGACGAATTCGCTCTAGCGTCGCCGTGAACGGATAAAATGCGAGCGCGATCGTTTTAACGCGAAATCACGCGTGATTATTATCCGGACGCAGTAAAGGATCACCGTATAATGGCTCCGAAACGATTTATTGCGCGTAATTACGAAGAGGTGGCAGTTTAAGGCACCTTTACAGCTCTGAACGCCGTTGCGAGCGTTCATTCACTGAGAAAACGACCGGGCGACAATAAAGCCAATAAACGCTCGATCGTACCACGATCAAGTAGCTTCGTAGTACACCGGATGCTCCTATTAAACGTGCCGTTATGTATCTACCTCTCTATTTAAGAAATTGTCGATTCGTCTTGGAAATTGAATAACTAAATGAAAATCTATCGCTACCATTCAACTTTCGACGATACCAGCAACACCAGTCACAGCAATATTCCTTTCTTTTCCCTCTCTTTCTCGAAACGAAACCAACCTTGGAGTCCACTACAAATCCTCGGAAAAATGCAACACTTTCGCAACTTGATCGCGGCAGGAGAAAAACGATCGTTGCACCGTGAAATTTCGTGCTCACCGTTGACGCAACGCTGGAGCAAGAAACTTGTAAACGTGTTTCAAATGTGTCTGAACAATGCATTATCGATATAACATTGGCAAAGACACTTTCTCAGTCAGCCTGTCGGTGCATCGTGTCCGTCCTGCAAACTAGCGAATTATTCAAACGAGCCTAGGCGAACGAACGTGACCGTTCATCGAAACGAAGAATCGACTCGGTCTTCTTGGTAAACGTTGTTTATTTTTCATTGGCGAGTGGCTTTTCCTGGTGGCTCGTTAAAAGACGAAGGAGGCAGACGTTGACTTGAGATCTAAACTTTCCGGTCTCGTAAACAATTCTCTGATGATTTCAACCGTTTTTACAACAGTCTTCGTTCTCCAAATTTTATTCGCCCAACACCCATTCGTCTTGGACGTCTTTCACCGATTGCTTTCTTTGTATTCGGTGCGGGGCACGCGCAAACGGTGCAAGAGGAATGTAAAATTGGCATGGAAGTTCGTGGAACGGGCACGCGTTCCATGAAAGTGTCGCTCCACGATTCGAAAGTGAAACATTTGCCTAGGCGTGTCTGGGGCTAATTATGCGAGGCACGACGCTAATTACCTGCTGACTGGCTATTTCAAGGAAAACGTTGCCTTTATATTTAGCCGTTCTGCGTACACGATGCACCGGTGGAAACAGATTAAGCCTCGGCTTGTTTACCTCCCCCTGTGTGCGCACAAACTGTGCACAGTTGTTGGTGTCGTTGGCATTGGATTATGCCGAGACTTCATTATGCCTATCACGGCATTAGGGCGAGGTTCATTGTCCAGAGAGGCAGAGCGTGCTTGATTATGCTCAGGAAAAGTAGATTTAGTTGTCCGGGATGCAATAATGGGATAGGTCTAGGTGTGTTTGACTCTGCATGCTTTCCTATGAACGCGCTGGTTTCAAAGTGAACAACTCTTAACGTAGCAATAGATTACGTTTCATTATGCCTAATATGGATGCAATTTAAACGCTGCTATCCCGGTGATAAATTGAGCTCTGGCACAATTTAGCATCGCAGTGAATTGTATGCAGATAGATCTAACGTGGCAAGGTATACCTTGCTTATAGACACGTGGTACCAAGACAAATTATGCTCTTGTATAATTCTGGTTGCGACCAATGGCATTCAAGTATCATTGGTAGAACAATTGCAAAAGTAGCTTACATAGTTTCCTTTGTATCTAATATACAATAATTAACAAACGATAAAAAATAAGCAGTACATACCGTCGCTGTTATCCTAGAGGAATAGTCTGGATCGTGGTGCAGTGGCAAGCGGATATACGGGAGGAAAAGCCGACGAGGGAACCGGCGTCGTGCTCGGTAAACTATGACGAAGGTTAGGTTATCTCGGGACGCGGATCTAAACGTTTTAACGTGTACCGGCACGCTTCTAGCACAGAGTACATTGTCATTTTATGAACAGTCGGCTCTTGCTGCACGACAGACGACACAACGGCTACAATTTGCGCTTGTAATTGCACCGCTATCAATTCCATTTCACCAGCGAAACGTCAACACACGTGCTGTCACTTACGCGCATGCCACTCTACTGCAGCGCCACCCCGTTGCCTAGCAAATCCCGCGCTTTTCAAGTGGCGCGAAAATGATTACCGATTCAAAACGTTCGAAAAGTAAGGTTTCAATTCTAAGAAAATTTCTTATCATAAATCGCGTAATATCGATCATTTTCGACGGGAAATGATATAATTGAATGGTGAAGATTAAAAGCAAGCTCGTAAAGGGTAAACAAACGTTAGTCGCGAGATTTAATTACATCGTTGCGAGGAAGAATAATCGCTAGAACTAGCAGTGTCACGGCTTTTAATCCGCGAACACCTTCTCGGTTATTACTCTTCGCGGGTTTTTAACGTTGTCACCGTAGCGCGTAAATAATACCGCCTCTCTCCGTTAAGTCGGATTTATTGCTAGGCTCTCTAGAAGCCGCCAGGCTTATTATTTAATCGTTCATTAACGATTCTTCGCGCGTCGCTTATAAATTCCCTGGTTGACCCGGTAATCGTGGAGTTACCTTTTATTTTCTTGTCGCGTGCTCCATTGTTCGCATTGGCAACGCTGCTATCCGCGGGTACCGACCACTGATTATATTCAAATTAGCTTTTCATGCTGATTCCGGAAATGTACTACGCTTATCTTAACCCCTGATACTTGCATAAACATTAAATGAAACAAATGTTAAACTCGAAAGGTTTTCGAAAGAAACAGCTGTAATTATCGTCGCGAAGGAAAGGAGTAACGATCGATGCAATTAAGTTTCTCGGTGAAAGTGACAAATAAAGTGGCTGAAAGTGAGTCAGAAGTCTCGCAGAAGTAGCGCGGAAAGGTAAATGAAACGATTCATGAAAATTTCACAAAAAGTTTTGACATCGCGCCGCTGTCTTTAGACAGGAAAGAGCAACCGGGTTGCAGCTCGATACCGATCGCAGCAACTTTTTCTCAAGGATCCAAGGAGGACCGAGTCAAAAGCCGACTCGGAGCCGGTACCCTCGTTTCGTTCTGCTTCACGCACACCCGCGTGGAGGTAGAAAGGAAAAAGAGTCTCGGAGGAAGCAACGAGGGTACAGAAGCAAAAGCAACAATGGTAAGTCACGATCCTGCTTGCATAGATTTACGATGCGCTCTCTCGATGAATGTTATAAAGGACCTTGATTTTTTCAAGACTATTAGTTTAGGTACCTAACAAACAACAGACACAAAAAGACAGGGAAAACAAGGAGAAGAAGAGAAAGAAAATAAGCAAAGGGATACAGAGGCGGTGGAGGAGGAGGGATCGTAGAGTACTCGACCTCCACCTTGGTCGCCACGCATCGTGGAATTCGTTCGGGGAACAGGGTTCTCTGCACGCCACGGTCTCGCTGTTTTGCATTTTACACCGGTGCCGAGATTTGGTCGTTAGATTCGCCATGCGCCTCCTACAGCGTCCTCTTTCCTCTTGGATCCACCATGTAACTGGCGGTTCTCCTCTTAGCCCGGGGCAAGGATGCCGGTACCTTAACCCCCCGTCGTGCTCTCATGTACTCGGTGGCCCTTTCTTTCCAGCCTTGCCTCGATAATAATGTTATCTCGTCCGGCTGCCGACTTTGTTTTCCGCCCCGACGAGCCTCGATAACTCGCCGCGTACGCGCATCGCCCTCAGGGCCACGCTCTTGCCCACGAATTTCCGCCCGCGATCGACCACCGCGTTTCCGCCTCGACTTACGCATCCGCGTCGACCCCCCCGATGGTTTAACGCTCATCAGCCCGAAGCCTTCTAGTCTTTTCATCCAATTCACAGTCGTTGCTGCCGACTTTCGAAAA